CACAACCAGACTGCCTTTCAGATCCAGATCTCTTAGCACAGCTCGTGTCTTTTGCCTCCGATTCCAGGTTCGACGCAGTTCCCTTACAACCCCCTGACGATGAGGATGCTCAGCAGCACGCCGCCCACCTCCCTGGCCTGCGCCCCGCCGGCCCTGAGCCAGGCCGCCCCTCCCCAGCAGGGCAGGCTGTGGGAGCGCGAGCCGGCGCCGCTGCTCTCCGCCCAGTACGAGACTCTCTCTGACAGTGACGACTGAACTATGCAGATTAGTTTATTTTTTTTTTTTAATTTGCGGGTCAAAAGAAGATCTCTATTTTTGACTTGTGCCCATAGAGACTTTCCGAGAGAGCGAGGGCCACACAATGAAGAATTGATGGAGAGTCCGTTCAATGCCTTCTGCACAGGCCCCGTGCCGGAGGAGCGTGACAAGAAGGTTGACTTACTAAAGATAAATATGTAAAGAGTTTTTAAAAATGTGGACTATTCCTGTTCTACATCTATTTGTAAAGAAAACCATAATGTCTTTAAATCATTCTTCTGTAAATAGAGAGTACTTTTTGCAGTGTTTTTTTCCCTTGCTATAGTATCTGGTGTACTTATGTTCAAATCATTGCCTAAACCTTGGGGGTCATTTTGTAATTTTTTTTTTTAAGCATTTTCTCCAGTGTAGAGTACTCTTCATAACCCTAGCCTCCCTACTAGCCTAACCACAACCCCAGCCTCCCAACCAGCCTAGCATCATTGCCCATTTAATGCCGTGCCACTTCTTGCAGGCATTGTGCTTTTCTATAATTTTTTTTTTTTCTTCCCCTAGACACACTTTCTCAGTGGTGTTCAAGCTCTTGTGAAAATGTTGATTTTTAAGACTGACCCCTTAATGAATTCTGTACATTAACATAGTCCGGTTCGCTGGAATAAGATGATATATTTCTTTGAATTTTAAATTCTGCCACATTGTAAATTTTTGGTGCAGTTGGTTTTATTTAGCAACACTGCAGAAATATTATTGCATGGGTATGTTATGGTTCATTTTTAAAAGGATAAAAAAAGAAAAAAAAAAAAAAAAAAAAAAAGAACAGCTTCTGGAGGCATACCTCACTGTTGTGCACACTGGGAATTTTAGCTGTGCCCCAAAAGCCTATCTTAGTGTCTTCTGTTTCTGCATTGTATGCAGTCAAACAGGCTACTAAATTTTACTGTCATATTCAACCACAGCAAATGGCTTATTTGAACAGAGGCTCTGGGTGGGTTGATAAATCCTTTAAGAAGAAAAACCTCTACGTCCCAAGTTTAAATAAAACAAAATGCTTTTACAGAATAATTGAGCAACACATGAGTCAGCTACTTGGCTTCTGTTACAACCAGTTTGAAATAGGTACTGTGATTTTTTTACCTTCCTCCAGTCTGATTTGAAAATCTTTATGTAATAATTATTTTAAAGTCAGCATCCCTGTCCCAGTCCCTAGCCCCAGAAGCAAGCTTTTGGTGGAAGTCCTTACAAATGCTTGGCTTAACTCCTAAAGTGTGCAATACTTGTTAGGGTGATTTTGATTTTTAAATTGCATATGGTACTAGGAGAGTCTCTTTAATCATCATTCATCTATCAATGCCTGCTATGATATGCCTGTAGCTCATGTATACATACATCTGGTTAGTGATACCACAGGGTCTCCTGACATCCGTCTTCAAGAGCATCTTATTTTTTGCTGCACTGACCTCAGGAAGCTGATTTAAATCTTCTGGGGTGGAAGGACTGATTTACAGATAGCACTGAGGGGTGGGGGTGGGGGGCACAGATTCCAAACTGCTTTGGCATCTCATTGATGAACAGAGTCTTTGCCATGGAGTTATTTTCCAGTCAAAACGATCCTTAATTTAACGCTGTATTTGCGATACGTTGTATGGAAGGTATAATGCAGCTGTGTAACCTTAAGCCATGTAAGCTCTGCATCTTCTGGAAGGACTGTAATGGTCCAGTTACAAACAGGAAGAACTACAGAACTATTTATCAACAGCAAATTGACTGTAAGTACTTCAGAGGAAAGCCTTTTTGCCCTGAGTGTGGGAAAGAGAAAATCCAAAGGAACTCATTTGGAAACTTGACGCTGTGTTGCAAATACAGAATTATTTTGCTACTTTTTTTTTTTAAACACTGCATCAGAGTAGATCTGTTGGAATCTTAAATCTCCTTCCAGTCTTTCTGTGGAAAAGATTTTTCTCATCCTTCTGGCTTACAGTAGTGAAGTTTTCATCCTGTTTGTAGACCTGCGCTCTTACTTTAACATTTTTGTTCCCACAGCAACATATACTGGAAAACAAGTTGATCTGCCCTTTTTGTAGATTTGAATTTGGAGTGGAGAGTTAAGCTCCACTCTGAAACTCACTTGTTCTCACTTTCTTCGTGTAACAAATGCAACATGAAAGAGGCATGTACAGACAAATGTCTATGCTAACTGTACAGTAAGTATGGCATGTTCATTGCAAAGCTTCATGTTACTGCTGCTGCAGCAGCAAGATCTCCAAGGTAGGACAGTCACTTTCTCTGAGATACAGCTTGAGTGGCATTTGCACATAAAATGTTGCTGCTTTTTTTGTTTGTTATCCGAGTTCTAACTTCTCCAGTGTAAAAACCTCTCCAGAGCCTAAATTAGGGTTTACCACAATTCCAGTAATCTTCAAGTATGGAATTACATCTGACCTGTTTCAAACAGGAAGGTGTTTGTAAATCATGTTTACAAAGTGTAGTTTACTACAGATTTTTAACTGATTTCCAATCAGTGCTTTCACAATGCTTTCATCTTGATATGTTTCGTGATTCTGATATGAAATCATTTAAGACTTGAAAAAACCCATGCATCATAAAACTTTTTTTTTTTTCCACACAATGTCTTCAGTAGACAGTGACTTCTGGATTCAGACCAACCAATAAAGGGGATCAGTTCTCCATTTGCTTTTCCTGTGTCTCCCTCTTGTTTTGCAGCATCTAGCTATGTTTGTGAGAACAGGCAGAACTTCCCCAAGGGGGTGCTGCAGGGTCTGAGGTCTGCCACTTACCAACCAAAGCCCAGGACTCCAAAGAAGATTGTTAGAGCCTTTCTGTCGGTACAAGGTGCCTGTGACAGCCATACTTTTACTTCTTAGCTGGCTGAGAAGAAAGGTGTATGTGTGACAAGCTTTTGCAGCTTCAATGAACATCTACTTTAGAAAGCCTGCATGTCTCCTCTTAGCTCAAAGTTAAGCAGAGCTGAAGCCACTAATGCTACTGTAAGTAAAATAATAATGATGCAATTAACATTAAGGGTCATACCAACCAGCTGAAGCTCAAATGAGAGGTTAATACAATGCTTGCTAGAGGCAGAACAACAGTTCCCCTGTCCTACTAATAGAGATTTGATAACTTCTGGTTTAATTCACCTTTGTCTCTAACATTAGGCTTCCATGCAGAGCAGAACCAAAAAATTCTGTTGTATAAGCAACCTGTTCACATGAAGCCTGGAGCTTCCAAACTTGGCAGTTTGTACATACCATCTTTTCCAACAGGAAGCCTCAGCATTCCTCTCTGAGAAGGGAGGACAGCTTTGGCACTTCATCTGCTCTCAACTGGGGACCACCTCCATGTGTTATTTCTGACAGCAGCTCTGGTTTGGTAACATAGTCCCACCCCTCTTCTGAAAGGACTTGGTCTATCTTTGGATTACAGTAGACACTTTGAAGAAAAACACTTGATCTTCAGGCAGCTTGTCTGAAAAGGAGAGGGAGCTACAGCTCTGTCCCAGTGCAGGTGTAGTCTGGGAAATGCTCTGTTGAAGTTACTACATGCTGACCCTGGAGCACTGACAAGTGCACCCTGTTGTGCCAGCCAGAGTGTAAAGAGTGAGAATCCCTGCCTCTTTTTTCATGACTTAGCTTTAGTACAGCTGTTTTTGAAACAGAATACTTCTGTGAAGAGTCAGGAGTAGCAAATGCCCACTCCTTGACTCAGCTTCAAGTATTAATACTAGGCTAGACTTGAACTTCACTGGCAGTCAAGCCAAAGTTAAATCACTAGCACAGTAGGTCACTAACCACAGACTACACCACAAATGTACATAGTTAAAATTTCACAACTTTATTTTGGGCTACGCTGTTAGGCAACAGCAGCCCTTCTTGTTTAAGCAGTCCTTAAACTCCTCATTGTTCTTTTCCTGGAGAATTGCACCAAAACCCTTGCTGCTGTCAGACACCTGAAGGTTGGACTCCATGGCCAGACTTATTTGGAGCCTTTTATCCTCTTGGCCAGCTCAGCTAGTTCTTCCTGGATGTGCTGGACAGAAGCATCATCTCCCTTCTGTCGTGCCTGCTTGAGAGCTTCTTTGTACACTTGTTTTGCTTGCAGAAAGTCTTCTGTAGCAAGAGGAACAAGGGGCATGGCAAGCCAATTACATCAGCCGTTTTCAGAGCACCCTCCTGAAGCTGACCACATGCAAAGGAGACACAAGGACTACTTGGCACACATCAGCAGCTAGGGATGTGCAGAAAACATCCAGCACAGGGTCCCAACTAAGAGACAGAGAGCAGCAACGATGATGGGACAAGGTGCTGCTCCAGCATTAAGACTTCACAGAAACAAGTGTGTCTCCTGTCTTTTTGGAACCAGTGACTAAACATACAAGACAAGGGAAACAACTCTGACAGCCTTTGGAGTCAGATGCTCCTGTACTGCATTTATTTTGGACAGGATCATTCAGCAGCCAAGTACAACTTGAACACAACACAGGTGGTCTACACAAAGTCACCAGACCTACCGCTTAAAAAACAGTAACACAAAAATACCCCTATAATTCAATCCTACAGTCCAGTATCTGCCATCAGCTCAAGCACAGCAACACAGGCTGGGTGTTTCCTGACCTACCTTTGTGCATCAGAATTGCTGCCAGGTTGTTCAGCACCATGTGCTCCTCGGGGTGCTGGGTCTCCTTGGCCAGCTCTGCTGCTCTCCTCACACAGGAGTGCGCCTCGTCGTAGCGTCCCTGGGCATCCAGCACGGTGGCCAAGTCGTTCATCAGGACCACACTCTGCACCAGGGTGGAAAGGAAGCTTCAGAGCAAGACTGGTGAAGAAGCCTGGGGCAGCAGAAGTGCCACATTCACACCCCATCACACCAGGGGAAGCAGTATTTCCCAGAGCAGCTTTCAGTAGCCCGAGGCTCCTGTTTGTGGGTCAGCATGCTGCCTGCTCACACTTCCCAGCAGGAAAATGGAACAAAATCACTGCTGTCTACAGCTGATGCCAGCAAAGCTGCTTTTAAAGCTGCCTCATGCCCTAGGAGATGAGCCTTTCTCTCCCTAGCTGTCAGCTAGGATTGTACACATCACCTGTGGATGAGTCTCTCCCTGAACATCATTTGAGAGCTGCAGAGCCTTCTCATACATTTTTTGGGCCGCTGGGAGCTGGTTAAGGCTGAGGAGATAACGAGCATAGGAGTCCAGGCTCATCCCAAGCAAGAGACGAGTGTTGGCCTTCTCTTCAGCTGCAAACAGAGAGGAGGGAGGTGGTTGCTTCTACACATCAAGCATGAGTCTCCAGCCTACAAGAGGAGAAAGCTCATGCAGTGTGGAGACAATGGATTGACACGAAGGCAGTGCTTAGGCAACATGGAAAGCAGCATCAAGGACAGAAAAATGGAGAAAACAAAATGGGAGCAGCCTTTGGCAGACAAGGCAGCCCTACCTGGTAAGACATCCTCAGGCAAGTCCTTTTGCTTGGCAATCTTCTCCTCCAAGGTCAGGATGCAGAACTCGTAGCCAGCCAGGGCTAATTTGTGCCTGCAAAGTGCACCAGCTCAAAGCAAGGCTCCTTCCATCCCTAAAGGGATGGATGTGAACACCCTCAATCCCTCATTCTAGAGGGCCTTTAAGACAACTCTTGCCTTTCACCAGGCCCTTCCTGCCCTCAGTGCTCTCTTCTTGATCATGGCCTGGACCCTTCTCTTGACCCATGGGCAAGGGGGTCGAAGAGGGCTCACAAGGCCAGCCCATGCTCTGCTGAAGCATGACAGCAGGCAGGCAAATATCATGCCTGTGGGAACCTTTATGTTAACAGTACCTGGTCACATCAAAGCTTCCTCAAGCACTTTATTCCTAAAGAGCCTCTGCTTGGCCACCACTGCCACCGTGCAGCCGAGATGAAAGCAAAAGCTGCCTTTAGCAGGGACTCACTGTTTCTGGGCAGCGTAGATACTGGCCAGCTTGAGGGACATCTCAAGGATTGCATTGTCATCCTGCCAGGAGGAGACACAATGCAACCATTACTCTTCTTGCATCTCCCCAGCAGCAACATTACTTTGTCAGAGAACAACTTTAGACCTTAAAAATCCCCATCTTGTCATCTCCAGAGCCAACATCCATTAAAGGAAGCTCTGAGGAAGGCAGCAACCAGTACTGCCCATTTCCAGGAGGTATTACAGCACAAGAAACAGAGCAAAGACTTGTGCACAACACTGTTAGTACTGTTAGCCCCTATCAGAACATACCTCCTTTGTGTCCCCTGCAAGCAAATAGCTCATACTTGCTTTGTACAGCTTTTCTGCCTGAAATGAGAATTTAAGACAATGATGAGGAATGTTGGCAGTTAAAAGGACTCCACCCCTTACAGAGGCATACCACAGGGAGAAACTGGTCTCAGTTTGTGGCATTTGCTTTGTATGTGAAGACCAGGTAGAAGTGAAATGCTCAGCAGAGCCCAGTGGTACCAGCAACTACTGGCTCCTTTCCAGTGTCTCAAGGGCAGCTTTCTTAGCAGCATGTGCTCCGTGGGACTGCAGTCCCAAGGCAGATTACTCTGGGAGCTGTGCCTCAGGCCACAGCACGCTGCTGAGCCTTCAAGGCCTTGCACAAGATGTCAGCCTCTTAAAATTCCGAGGGAAAGAAACAGCATTACTCACGTTGTCCAGCTGTCCCTGCATGAAGGCCACGTTTGCCATCTGGAAGAGACAGAGAGAGCGCTGGAGTGAGGACGGGCTTCCACACAGCAGCTCCACCGCACGGCTCTGCGCCCCCGCGGGGAACCGCGGCCCCCGGCCACTGCTAGCCCCGG